GTGACTTTATGAAGATTTTGGGAGTCCTCTAAAAGTTTGATAAAGTCTTGTTTTACTTCTGTCGATTTCCTCATCGTCCTTTTGGGCCAGATTCTCCTACCTCACTCTTACTGGGTAGGACTCTACTCACTGAAGCAGACCTACTGATTGCACTAATGTGCACTGTGGAACAATGCACAGTTCAGTGAAAATAAGGATAGCAGAATCTGTCTCCATATTACTTTTGTTATTTCTGCCATTACCATCTGAAGCAGCATTACCTTTGTATGTATTTTCAGTTTCTGCCACAGAGATCACATTCCACCAACCCAGACTGTATGACTCCCCATGGAACTATTCTACATCAGACCCTGGACTTTGACGAGTTCATACCTCCAATACCACCACCACCCTACTATCCACCTGAATATACTTGCGCACCTGTGATGGAAGCACAGAGGTAATTCTTTCTCCCTGAACTTTAATGTCACTCCTTTATAGCTCTGGGGCACAGATTGAGACTATTTCTGGGGAAAATGAATTATACACTATGAACAGCCTCACTGTGTCTTTCTTTTATAGTTAGAGCCCTGCAAAGATATCGATTTATATTCACGGATATAAATCGGTATCTGTGGAACCGAGATTCGCAGTAGTGAAAGGAGAATGTGGGGCCATTGCTCCCAGGAGCCAGCGCCCCACACTGGCAGTTTCTCCGGTACAGCTGTACTGCCTCCTCACCCCCGGTCTACTGGAGTGGGCACCAGGCTTACTAGCCGCAGTCCCCGGTGATGCTCATGTGTTCTCCTACAGGAGATGCAGACAGCTGCATGGAAGGGATGTGAGCAGTAATGGGGGCGGTATAGCCGTGCTGTAGTTGCTACCAGTGTGGGGTGCCGGCTCCTGGGATTGGTGGTCCTACATTCTGCTTCTTTGCCACTCTGGTTCCCGGAAGAGCCTTGTGGTTCCATGGATATATTGATTTATGTCCATAGGTAGCTGTATACACGGATATAAATTTGTATCCGCGCTGGCCTCAATTTATAATGGATGTCTTTTCCAAAAATATGAACTGCAGTCTCATGCGTGTTTGACAAAATCTTCTCAAACACATTTTAAAACATTCATTTGCTTATGTTAGTGCTACTGCTGAAAGACCATGGTGGAGAAGTGGATGACTTCTGACAAGACCGGGAGAAAAATATTTGACAATAAAACAAGGATTCCGATTTACTATTAATTTTACCACAGTTGTTAGCATTATACACAGAAGCTAAATGTGAGATTTAATCTTTTGAGGAAATTGCCTTTAATGTAATGTGCATTGCTACAGAGTATTTGCAAGACAGTAATGCCTATAGAAGAGATTGGTATAAATGGCCAGTATTCAAAAAATGGAATACACTTTTAAACTGTCTTTTGAATTTAGGCTTCATTTCACCTATCTGATGAATGGGCTGCTTTGTGATGTGTTCACTAACAAATTCAGATTCCTGCATCTGCTCACTACATCATTGTGGAAGATGACATTAGTTTTCCAGGTAAATCCAGTGAAGTGAAATGATAATTAAACATTTATTTTCTTTAATAGAGGTCTCCATTTGGACTTTCCTCATTCCCCCTTCAGTGCTTTATATGAAGTCACCATTAACAGCCCAGGAATGCTATATCCAACGGAGCTGCCCCCTCCTTATGAAGCAGTGATTGGACAGGCCCCTGCTAGTCAGGTAAGGAAAGATCAAATGAAATGGGGCCATTCTCTTTTTGGCCATTCTCTTACTGGCAGCTAAAAGAACATAGGAGGTAAGAGTACCTTAAGGAACAGCGATAAACATATTTGAATTGTGAGCACTTTTGTATTCTTTAAATCAGGGCTACTCAACTTTGGAAACCCCGGGGCCACAATGATACTCTCAGCACGTGCCAAGGGCTGCAACTTAAGTGTGGTTGCATCTACATGCAAATATCTTCTCTCTCACTGATGGGCATGAAACAAAGCATTTCCCACAATGCCCCAGCGCTCCCGGCATCTCCTCCCTGGGGGCTAGAAAAGCCATCTGTAGCCATCTGTTCCGGCCACTCGGCCTCTGGGGGCTAGAAAAGCCATCTGTAGCCATCTGTTCCGACCACTCGGCCTCTTGTGTCTTTCAATGCTCACCCCACCTGGGAGACGGCTCCGACCACTCGGCCTCTTGTGTCTTTCAATGCTCACCCCACCTGGGAGACGGCTTGCCATTGTGCAGTGTGTTCCCAGTGGAGACCATGTTCAAAGGATCCAATCCATGGGCTGCATGTTGAGCCCCACATAAACCCAAACCACACCGCAGGCCACAAATAAATGGGCCGTGTGTTGAGTAGCCCTGCTTTAAACTGATAATTTACAGTCCACTGTCAAACTTAAAGTGGGTGTTTTCCTTTCCCAATACTAGCCTGTCATCTTCACCTATAAGTTTGCATCAATTCTGAGTGCATGCTTGGATAAATGTTTATATATGATATAGCATTTCAATTGAGGTCATCCACATTGTTAAAAGAAGAATAACAATAATCACAGAACATTGGACCACCACGGAAGAAAACCTAGAAAAAGATGAGCCACTGAAGCAAGGAACCTTTATTTAGGTGAGGACGGAGAATGAAGTTCAGAAGTGAGATTGGGCTGTTTAGACACGTGTGGTAAGAAGAATCCTCATGTAGGAAGCAGTTTTCCTTTATTCATAGTTTTCCAGTGTATATAGCAGGGGTGTTGCTTTATTTTTCTTTAATGTCGTGTGCATAGGTAAGAGATAGTAAAAAAAAATAGATTTGATATCCAAGAAGGTAATTTTGTTTGGCGCAAAATGTAATGATGCCATTTGTGTGCATATTAGAAATGCAGCTCCTGGGACATGTAGTTTTAACATGTCCCATGGTCTGAGCCTAGATTAATACAAATTTGTATATAAAAATCCATTAAGTATCATACTTGACTTTAGAGAAATTCCTGAGAAAGACTCTGTATTAACCTAGATCAATAAAAATGTGGATGTGAGTTTGCAGTCGCCAGTTGGCATTGGATCTCAAATTATCTTCTGGAAAAGAGCTGGCATAAATTTTCCTATTAGCTTTCTGCCTAAGTCTTGACAGAAAGGCTTATGCCAAGTGTCAAAATTTACTCTCTGCCAGTTGTAACATATAACTTTCCAAAAACGAAAGTCAAGCTGGCACCAGAATACTGAGGCATGGCCTGCATTAAGTGATTACATTAAGTAATAAGGAATCATGCAAAACAGCTTTATATTGAACTATAAGAAATAGGGATGTGTTTCTGTAAGCAAAGCAATGAGTAAAATCTACATTCAGCTGTAATTTTGCTGTTGCTCATACATTTGATGTCATTACTTGCAGTAATGACTGAAATATTGTATCAATAACAATATTCTGCAATCCCCTTAACTCCATTATGAGCTTGACAAAAGGTCCAGGACATCTCTTTTATATTTTTCTGTTGTGTTTTCTGCCTTTATTTCATACCATTAAACAACCAATTACAGGATTATGGTGCAATGGGGGACACAATTAATGCCAAATTAAGCAGTAATGGGCGAGGGGTGCTTGGTGATCATGCTGATTGACTGCCACCCTGTGTAACAGTCTCAGTTTCTGTGTTTTAATTGCTTCTGAGATTGTTACTTTTCTTCTGATAGACACTGGAGGAAGTTTAAGGAATTTAACATCCTAACTACTCCTTGTCAGGGTTGAGGTGAACATTTGCAGAGCTGGGTGCATATAACTAGGTCACATAGCACCTGTCTATACTATGGGTGACTAGAGTCCTTCATATTTACTCAGAACCCTCTTGTGGCTGCTCTACCGAATGAAAACAGTATATTAAGAAACAGATTAAAATATAAATATATGACCCACTCCCCAGAAAAGGAAAATTGCTGATAATTTACAAAGTTTCCAAAGAAAGCAGCAATGGTAGATGGTCAAGGGATGGGCAGCCAAGCATAAATGAGGCGTCTCAGACATTCCAACCTTCTTATCTCACAACACAGCTTCTGTTACGTCTTTGTTTTTCTAAGTTAGTCTACTTATACCTGGTAGAAGGCAGCAACAGGCCAAAGATTATTTGCCTCTGATCTATGTAAGCTTGAAACGTGTCTCTCTTGCCAACAAAAGGGGGTTCAGTCAATGGTATTACCTCAACCCCTTCTCCCTTTTATTTATGCATCGGTTTTAGAAATGAGTCAGTGAAAATTGCTTATGAACAGCAAAGTTTGAATCTCAAGTAGCTTATTTCTAAAATGTTACTTACTGAAATTCTCTCCTGTTTTCTTTACAGCACTGATGGTAAAAGAACCTGAAAGCCTTAGGGTGTTTTCCATTGGTTTTATATTTGTGTCTCTAAATTAAAAAAAAGGCAAAAACAATTTAAATCATATCTAGTTTGAAAAAACATATTTCAGAAGAGACCTCTGTATCTGCTACCTGAGAAAGTTATAGCAATGGCTGTTTGTTTTTATTTAAATACAGAAACATGTCAGCCACCATTCTGGGTACTCTGACTATTAGGATCAAATTTTCATAGGAACAGCCATCCCAGCTGCACATGGCACTCATGTACAACAGAAATAATTCACTTAACAATCCAGTAACTTAAAGCAGCAAAATCACACATGGCACTCATGTACAACAGAAATAATTCACTTAATCCAGTAACTTAAAGCAGCAAAATCGTTGTTCGCTCTGTTAGGTCAGGTTTCCTCAAAAGCGCATCTAAGCAGATGCATTGTCCATAAATCTTTGACAGTTGGGTCAGTGTCGGTGCACCATCCTTTCTTTTCTGGGCACCTGACTCCCAGTATTGGTTCTGGTCGCAAGTGAAAATGAGGGGTGGATTTTTAATTATTATACAGCTCTCATTTGGCACTAATCCACATCAGCCCACTGTATGCCTGGCATTTTCTAGCCAGGAAAGCTCTAAGAGTAGAATGGCAGGAGGCATTGAAGGTTGGGAAGTGAAGTGCACTGACCATGGTAACTTCATGTTTCCAACACTTTCAAATTAAAAAAATTTCATTTAAAAATTGAAGAACATGGCCGTTCAGTCAGTGGAAAAATTTAGGTCTGCAAGGAATATAGAATGAGACCTCAAAGTCTTACATACATGCCACACACTCTCATATAATATGCATTGAATAACAGCATGCTATGAACTGAATTGATAGATTTATAAACTCCTCAAAGGCAGACTCACTAACAGAAATAATGGCAGAGTGTTAGCTACAGAAGTGCTGCTGGGAGCCATTAAGCAATAATATTTATTAAGCCTCTTCCTGAGCATCCGGCATATTTTTTGTTTGTTTTTACATGGATTAAGGTCTTTAGAGTGTTATCAAATTATATCAAATTAGACTTAGCTATTTCCTGGATAGGAACAGAAAATGTCAGTGCTAATAGCAGTGGGTTTTTTCTAAATACAATTTGCAGTTGTCATCCATTCTGCAACTTGTTGCATTGCCTTGAGAACAGTGCTTTTTGCTCTACTTTTCCAAGGTGATATCGGCTACGTGATGGCAAAAGACAAGAATTGAAAGATCCCGTCTCTGGATGGATTATACCAGTAAATGTCTTGCAATCTTTACTAATTTGTAGGCTGTGCAGGGTTGCTGAAAGCATGGTTTATCCTAGGGCTTAAATTCTCATATAGTATTTCCCAGAATACCCAGGTTCGGCGCTCCAGCCCCACGGGGCACACCAGGGCTTGGGGCTTTGAAAATATTTGTCAAAGATCCACTCTGGGCAGCTCCAGCTGAATTTAAACCAGGGTTTAGCTATTCTTTGAGTCTTAACAGCTTAGTGACTATATTTTAATGCCACCAGTGTTCCTGAGGGTCTTCAAGTTGATGAAATCTATTACCAGGGTGCAGGTGGGTAAAAGGACCTGTGCCACTAACATCTGCATTCCCACCCATCAGTGAAACCGGGGTGCAGGTGGGTAAAAGGACCTGTGCCACTAACACCTGCACTCCCACCCATCAGTGAACAAGAGCTTTGACCTGACTAAATATTAAAAGGGTTTGTTGTTACTGTTAAAACATGACTCCCTTTCCCCCAAGCAGGTAGAAGGTTAATAAATTCCACTTATTAGTGTAAACTGCACATAAATTACATTTCAGCAATTATTCTGACAAATGGAAAAGGAGAGGGTAAATGCAATCTGTGAATACGCTGACCAGACAGACTTAAATAGCTCATTCTAGTAAAATGGAGCCTGGATATGCTGAAAAAATGACCAATGAAAGAAAAAAAATCTGACAACTGTAAGTGATTTTTAACTGTCTAGATTATATCTAGGCCCCCCTTAAGTGATTAAAACTGTCTATTCATCTTTCTGCAGCTAAAGCTCTAGGCAGTCGATATTATTATGTAGAGATGAAAGATATTGCCATCTTTTCTGTATAAAGGGAGGAAGCTCCTTGGTGCTCGGTTGGTATTAAGAGACAGAGTGATGTAAAATGCCCTATCTGTTCCTTATTTTGATTGCCAGTCTGTCAGCAAGGTACCACCACTAGGAAGGCCAAATGTTATGTTTAAAGAAATCTATAAGCCAATATAAAGAGACTGCACATTACAGGCAAGAGCCCAGAAGTTAACCGGAGAGGTCTTGCCTTTTCATTTATAACAGGAACCTTTTGTTACCAATTTTCAGTGGAAGAGCCCTGAGAACTGTCTGTCCGGG